GCGCCCGCCGCTTGCAGCTCGGCGCCCGGACCCCGAGGGGGCGCCCGCCGCCTCCCGCCCAGCGAAGGCAGACCGAAGCGTGAGGCGGAGTCCAGCGATGTCGTGGTCACCTCGTTGGTGGCCAGGTCCTGCAGGTACTGCTGGCGCGTGCGCGTGGCCATGGCATGGAACTGGCGTGCGTGGCCCGCCGCCTGCTCGCCATTGAGTGCCTTGGCTAGCAGGAAGGCCCGGAAGTCGGCATTGGCGGGGAAAGGTCCTCCGCCAGGGGGCAGAGCTGGTCCGAAGGCGGGGGTGTCCTGTGTGCGGCTCACAGCCACCCTGCGGGGAGGGAGGCAGCAGTCAGGGGCAGGGGCCGAAGGGTTCAGGACCCTCTCTGGCCCATGGGAGACCTGGGGCTACCGAGATGCGCACCTGTAGGAAGTGTGTGGGGTGCAGGGCATATGCGCCCGTACCACCAGGAACACGTGCTGGAAGTGCGAGCGAATGGTGGTGGGGCAGAAGGGCTTGCTGCCTGGCTCCTGAAACACTATGGTCACAATGTCGTTGCCAATGTGGCGCTTCCGCAGGAGCTGGGGGTTAGACGGTGGAGGATGAGGGGAGGCTGCTTGACCCCAAACACCTCCTCCTTCAGGCAGGGCAGAGCCTGGGTGGCCTGGCTCCCCACCTGCTCCTGGTGAAGGCCTGGAGGTTTGTCTTTGGGGAGGGGGCCATCAACGGCGTGGGTTGTTGGGGGTCAACAGAGCTCAGGCCAGCACCCTTCCATGGCCACCCTCAGCCCCTCTCGCACCTGCTGCTGGTTATTGGGGGTGTAAGGCAGCATGGTGGACACGTGGAACATGATCTCGTGGTCCTGGTACGTGGTATAGAGGGAGTGTGTACCCGTGGAATCCGCTGCAGCCAGGAAAGGGGCAGGGGGGAGAACAAGGGGAACTGGAGTGGTTTGAACCGCCATCCTGGTCCACATTCAGCAATCTGTGACCCCCAGCCTCAGGACAAAGACTGCCCCACAATAGGTGGACACCTCCATGGTGCCACCAGTCAATGCCCAGGCTATGAGGCCCAAGGGCCTCAGTCTCAGCTGTTCCCCTGCACTCGCCCCAGCCTCCAGCCCCACAGCAGGACAAGGGGATGGGGGTGCTGGGATAGACAAAGACAGAAATGAGCTGTGATTGCCTACAGGGCTCTGCCAGGGAGGTATCCTACAAGAGGCCAGATGGTTGACTTGGGCCTAAGCACGTGTAGAACACAGGATGGGCGGGTAGGCAGGAGGTGCTCCACAAAAACCCCTCCCAGGACCTCAGGGGTGGTCTAAGCAGGGGTGCTCCTGGGGAGGTCAGGCTGGTGGCACATGTGTGTTTGGTGGAGGGGTGGGACCCCCAAATCCTCCCTGCTCCAGCAGTGGGGTACCAGGGCCTTGGGGTACCCCACTCACCCACAGCTTCTACAGCTCTCAACCTGTCCTCAGCCTACACAAAGAAGCCCCCTGCCCCAGCCCACAGACATCAGGAGACAACAGAGTGAAAAGGCTCTCCCCAAGGAAGCCCACCCCTCAGCCCAGGTCTGCACCCCCCACCCCCACCCCAGCCCTCTGGGCCTCACTTTTGGTGTCCAGCTGGGCCCGGTAATTCTCAAAGCCTTTGAGCCGCACCACGTCGCCCAGCAGGGTGAGGAACTGTGTGAAGGCTGGCCCCGCTTCCTGGTTGTTGTACATCTCCTCCTCGGAGCCCTGGCCCGCCTGGCAGTACAGGACGCCCACCTTGCGCTGGAAGCTCAGCTGGAGGGGGAAGGCCAAAGTCACAGGCCTCAGCCCCCTCAACACACACAATGGAGAATGGACAGGACACTGGCCTGGGGGCCCTGAGCACAGCCCTCCCCGAGCCACCTCCGTGGGTGTACAACCTGTCCTGTTTCAGCATCTGAGGGAGGGGATGGGAGAGAGTGGGAAGGGGCTGGGAGAGGGCTGGTTCTGGTGATTCACGGGGAAGACCCCGCACATGGTGCGCTTGCTCCCAAGAACTTCACACTGTCATCTTCCTTAGCTCAAGGCCAGACTGTCTCCCCCCTCCTGCCATCACCAGCATCCAACCCAGCCTCTGAGGCCACGGGCCATGCTCCAGCCCTGCTCTCGTTCTGGTTCACCCACTGCGGCCCCAGGTGCTCTGACTCCCTTAGGACAAGCCTGGATCCCCCTTCAGCCCCCACCTCCTTTTTTCACCTACTTGTCTACACTCGCAGGCCGGGTTCACCTTCCTTCTTCCCAACCTGCTGTAGCCCCACTTCCAAGCCCAGCTCCTCAGCCACACTCCTGCTACAAGCCATGGACGCGGCCCCATCCTGGCATCCTCTTGGCCACAGCTGGCACTGGGGACCACTCCCTCCTGTGCCTGGGGGTTGCAGGGACCCCCTCCACTTGCACCTTCTTGACCTCTTCTCCTCACCCTCAGTGGCTGCAGGGAACCCCTTCACAGGATGACACCCACATCTCTGCCTCCAGCCCAGACCCTCCTCTGAGCTCCAGGCCCATTTCTCCAGCTGCTCAAGGTCCCCTTGGCGCCTCCTTGTTGTCCCAGCCCACCCCTCCACCAGCCACCTCTGTAAAAAATACAACTCCTGGGGCCAAGAAGCCCCTGTCCATCAGTCTCTACCTGTCTGTCAGTCACAAGGGCTTCCCACTCTACCCCTGGACTGCCCCTCACCATCTGCTACGGTCCCTCCAGTCTAGCCCACCACTGCCATGCCGCAGCCAGAAAGCCACTTACTCTCAGATCTGTTTGAATCCTTCTTTGGCTCCCTAGTGCCTGACTTAGGACCAAATGCAAACCTTTCTCTACCCCTCCCCCCAAGCCCTACTCCAGCCACACCAAATTACAGACTTCATGTGACGTGCTTTCAGCTTTTCTGCCCAGAGAACGCCTGCTTGTCGCATTTCTGCCACGATACTACACCCCTGGCCAAGGAAGGACCGTCAGCCCTGCCTGCGTGCCGGCTGAGACCTCACAGCACCCTTCTGCTACCCTGCTCCTGGATCTCAGTCATCTGTTCGTGCGTCCGTGTCCCCCACCAGCTGTGAGCTACTCAAAGACAGTCCCTGGTCTGCACATGCCCCCAGCATTTGGGGCCTGGCACCAACAAGCTGCGAGTGTGCTGAATGACTGGTGGACTGCATAGCACCGAGGCCAGTGGGCAACGTGCAGCACAGATCAGGGATGGGCTTCCAGCCCCAGGAAGGGGTGAGCAGCCCATACCCGGAGGAGACCAAGGCAGTCAGAACAGTGCCTCTCAGACTGTGAGCTGCTCATGACTCACCCTGGGGCTTCCTTACACACAGACTGACCGATTCATGCTATGGGTGTGGGGCCCAGGAACGTGCATCTCTATCAAGCTCCCAGGTGATGTGGATGTTGTTGGCCCATGCACCTTACTTTGCCCTCCTATGGTCTGTCTGAAAGGCTGGCTCTCCGGGGTCACTGCTGGGCCCAGGATCAAGGTCAGGACTAGAGCTCGGGAGCTGGGTGGGATGGCTCTGACCAGGTCTAGGTGGAGGGGAGAGCTGTGACCACTCACCACTTGCTCATCCAGCGTGAGCAGCGTGCGAGGCACCTTGGGGGAGGCTGAGCCCAGGCGCAGGCAGGTCGGACTCAGCCGGGGTGCCACGTGTTCCAGAAGTTTCTTTGGGGACAGTCCCCGCGGAGGTCCCGGTGGCAGTGCATCCTCCGAGATGGTGCCGCGGAGCGTCCGGAGCTGAGGAGGGGTGGTAGGCGCCCTCAAGATCTGCACAGGGTGTGGGGGAGGCGACCCGCGGCCGGATCCCGAGATCGCAGCCCACCTGCGTGGTCCGCACGATGACGCGGTAGCTGTGCAGGGTGCCCCCTCCGCTGCCCTCCTTCTCCTCCCGCCGCAGGCTCACCGCCACTGGACCCAGCACATCGTCCAGGCCGAAGAAGTTCTGGTGTTCTGGGAGAGCCGGCTGTGGGTATTTGGCCCCGCCCCATCTACAAGCCCCGCCCCCAACAGACCCAGCCCATCCAAGGCCCGCCCCAGACCAGGACTAAGTCCCTCCTCCACTACCAGACCAAGTACCGGCTGGGGGCTGTGCCTACACACTTTGCCCTATGCCCGACCCGCTCTGTAGTCCCACCCACAGCACACCTTGCCTCATCACAGCCCCAGACCCAAGGGGTCTGCTCCCAGGCTAGATCCTGCCGTGACCTTGCCCATCAGACCCGTATATTTTTTTTTTTTTTCTACTCCCAATTCCTGGAGCCCTCCTTTCTGGGCGATGGCGGGAGCAGTTTCCTCCACCTCAGAGGGGTATGAGGATGAAATCAGAGGAAGGCAGAGGGGCAACCCTAGCCAGGGGTTGGCCTTCCTGAGGCAATAAAGCCGGCTCCACTGGGAGACAGAGCCTGGCTCAGCTCTGACCCTTGCTATGACCAGGCTTATAGAGAAATCTAGGAGCTCTGGTAGTGTAGTGCCTAAGGCACTTGACTGCTAACCAGAAGGCTCCTTGGAAGGAAGGTTGGGCAATCCCACTCCTGTAGTGATACCACCTTGGAAACCCAAGGAGAGTTCGCTATGAGTCAGGGCCGACTCGACAGCACATGACAATAACAGAGAAGCCTACAAGTGACAAGGACCTCTGCCCAGAACCCCTCCGGCACCTCGCTGGCAATCTGTGCTCTCCCAGGGCCTGGCTTCCCCTCACCTGCCGTCCCCTCACCTTTGCCATAGAAGTACTTGCGGTAGTAGCCTGCGCCCAGGTCTGCGTGCTCCAGGCTGTACGCCGAGGCTCGGTTCTGTGGCTCCTCCAGGACTGATACCGCAGCATTGGGCAGTGCGGGCGGTACAGGTGGGGACACAGGTCCTCCCAGGCCTAGCTCGCCCTCACCTCCAAGCTCGCTCACAAAGCCAGGCGCCCCAAGCAGCAGGTCGGAGCTGGAGGCCCGGTCCTCGGTGGAGGCCAGGGTACCAGGGACGGCCTCCGTGTGGCCCCCCAGGCTCCGGGGCCTTGGTGCCCAGTCAAAGAGCAGGCTCTGCACATCGTAGTGGGCAAACCAGCGGGGCTCTGGCACGGGCGGGAAGGAGGGCTCTGGTTCCTCGGCCGGCAGCCCCAGCAGCGCCAGTGGGTCCGTGAAGAGCCGGGTGGGGGTCGCGGCAGGACGGCTAGCCTCCTCGTGGCTATGGGCCCGAGCCCGAGGGCTGGCTGGTGTGGGGGACCGGGCCTCGCCCGCATCGCTGCCGCTGCGCAGGAGCGGACCCCGGGTTGGCCGTGGCTCAAAGGTGTGGGGGGTCAGCGGGGGCCGGGATGGCTGGCGCAGCTTACGGGCAAAGAGGTCATCGGTGGGCATCGGGGCTTGGCCCCGCCGAGGGCTCCCAGCACCGCCGGCCCACATGGGCGTGCCGCGGGCCTGGCTCTCCGGGGGCCGGGCCGCATTGGCGGGCACAGGGGATTGGTGCCCAGCTGGCAGGTCAAGGTGGTGGCAGCAGTTCCTGCCCTGAGGGAGAAGGGGGCTGTTCACAGGGACCTGGGGCGAAAACAGGAACCTGGGCCCCCAGCCTGGTCCTCCACCACCCGGGTTGGCTTCCGGCCCCCTCCACTACCATCAAAGCCGCTTCCGCTTTCCTGGCCACTTCCTTGTCTGCCTGGGGTTGAGGTGTCTCGCCTCCTCCCCCAGCTGGGGACTGGCAGGGCCAGGGGTTGGGCCGCTGGGCCGTTGGCCCTGAGAGTCCCGGAGCCGCGGACTGCGATGGTCCTCCAGGTCCCACCCACACGCCTTGACTTTGTGCTGGGCCCAGAGTTAAAGTCCCCAGCAAAGCCTGGCCCAGCTAGAGAGAGGTCTGGCTCAGCTAGGCCAGGAAAGTCACAGGGCCGCTAGGGTCTGGGTCCTGCCTGCTTGACAAAGGGAGGACGTCCTGTCCCCAGAGACCTTCCTCCCTGCCCCTCCCATTTCCTTCAGGGTCCCAGAGGAGCTGAACACCCAGAGGTTGGGTCTCAATGCTCTGGCCCCCATAGCCTCAATACCTCAAGGCTGCAGGGGTTCCCACAGGCGCCAGCAGGAACAGCAAGACTTTCCTTCAGCACAGGAAGTGGCCTCAACTCTGGGCCCAGCCCCCTGCCCAGCCCCACATCCTGAGGAAGGTGCTGGGGTCACAACAGCTCAGTCATAGGACCCAAATCACCCTGACCTAAATGACAGGCCCACCGCTGGCCACATCTAGGGGCAGAGGAGGGGGTCGTGCTGACAGGGACCGTGGACACCTCTGCCTACCTGGCCTCACTGATGCTCACGGGAAGGTCTGAATCCCATGTGACCGACGTGCAACCTGAGGTCCAAGGGAGGGGGTCTCTTCCTGAAGCAATTCCACATCAACGCTGGGACTGGAACATGGGTCTGCCAATCCCCAGAGCCTGCGTAGTGCCGCACCTGCCCGTCCCTGTCCCTGTGTGTGTAGGTGTGATGGGTGAGGGGTTGGGCTGAGGCTCAAGGTCTCACAGGATGTAAGCCTGAGACACCCAAAGCCTCAGGGACCCGCTAAGTGCGGAAATGTGGCGAGGCTAGGGGCAGGTGTCGAGGTGGTGTGAGAGCGTGTCACCCCGAGGTGAACGCAGGATGGAGCAGGCAGCTGGGGCAAGGCTGTGGGACCCTCCACGGGGGACGTAAGCCTTTGCTGATGGGATATGGTGTGGCGCTGAGCCAGTGGGTCAGAAGAGTGCAGGGGCAAGAGCTATGTGCACCCCTAGCTGGGACCTCTGGCACCGAGCTGGGGTAGCTCTCCAAATCTCAGGGAATTTTCTCCCAAGACAAGAAGGGCTCTGCCCCTGACCCTGTTTTCTCATCCCTAAAATGAGGTTAACGATTCCTGCCTCCTCCAAGGCTGCTGGGAGGTGGAACCGAGTGAAGCGAGAAAAGCCAGCCATGTGTTAAGCTAGCGTGCATGTGTACGTGTGAGCGTGTGTTTCTGTGCACGCATGCAAGCCAGCTCCTTCCGCAAGCCAAACTCTGTGTGCGCATAAGCTGGGACTGGGCTGGGGTATGCTGGGTGCGTGATGGGGAACACGAGGAAGGGGCCCTGGCTGGTCCCACTCCCTGTGTGCTGAGTTCCGTACACACCAGTGAGTTCTGTGCGTGTCAGCCCCAGGCTTCCTAGCATCTTGGCCTCGAGCTGGGCTCTGGCCCTGCCTTGGGGGTGTTCTTGAGCTCTGCCCCCCATCCTGCAGCTTCACACAGGGCCCATTGAGGCCAGGACATTCCTCGAGGCCTGTGTCACTGAGGAGGAGGGGGCCGGCTCTGCCCCCACAGATCCGGAAGGGCTGTGGCCCCAGGAGGAGCTACTGGACGCTTCCCAGCACATCTGGAGGTCATGACCTCCTTTCTGCTGCCAGGGGGCGCGACAGATGTTTCCTCCCAGTCCCGGCCCAGGACTCTGGGGCGGTGTGCAAAGGCTGAGCGGAGGCCGTCCAGTCCCGCAGGAGGGGAGCCCCAGGACAGGGGGGAGTCCCGTACACCGCTGCAGCGGAGGGCAGCCGACAGCCTCGCCGGGAGGAGCCCCGTGTCCACGCACACCGGCCCGCGTGGGCCGTCACGCCGAGGCAATGGGGGCTGCCGGCGGGAGGCAGAGGACTGGACTGGCTGGCTCCGGGCTGGAGCTGGACCCCCAGGGAGGTTGGAGGGTGCAGGCGGCAAGCGCAGCGAAGACCCCTCCCCCACCCACGCAGCGCCTGGCCCACCGCCAGGCCCCCTTCGCCCCTGTCCCGCCCTGCCGCGGCGCCTCCCGTCCCCGGCTGTACCTCCTCGGGTCCCGCCGGCCGCCGCCTCCCGCGCTGGGCTCCCGGCGCTGCCCGCTCTCCAGCGGCCGCTCCGGGCGCCGGATCTCCGGGGGCGGGGCCTCCAGGGGCGGGGCTTTCGGGGGGCGGGGCCGGGCCGGCGGGAAGCTCAGCGGGCGGGGACTGCGGCCGGGGTCGGGACGTCTTACTGCATCAGGCGGCTCAGTGCGCCCCACCGGAGACGGGCCAGCCTGGGCGAGCTGTGGGCTCCAGCTGCTGTGCCGACTCTCGGCCAGTTTCCACAGCTGGGAAATGGGAAGTGCACCTCCTGCCTGGCCAGTTGGGAGGGCTAGAGGGGGCCACCTAGTGTCCACCCCGTGGACACACAGAAGGTGCTCAGGACTGGCTGAGCGCCAACTGGGTAACCGCGCCACACGCTGCCCCATCACGTGAAGAACACTTTGGGCAGGTGTCATCTTGGTCCGGGTAGAGAAGGTGAGCCTCGCCAAAGGCCTTGGCCAAAGTCAAGGCTGTGAATGTACCAACGCCTGGAAGTGGATATCTCTGAACACAGGAGTAGGAAACTGACCTAAACCACCCTTAGAGAAAGTTAGGGAAAGGAAGTGGACCTTGGGGGAAGGGGATGTAGGCCCACTTGAACCTCATCCCTGCTCTGGCCTCCATTCCATGATACCCTGGCTCCCGTGCCCCTCGGAACTCGTCCCCAACTTGGCCGCCTCCTCTTCCCTCCCCGAAACCATTGCCAGATAAAAGGAGAAACTGCCAACAAAATCAAAAATAGTGTTATTAATTCTGGTGTCTCTGAAGCACGAGGAAGAGAAAAAAAAAAAAAGACCAAAAAAAACCACCCTTCCCACATTTCAGGCCCAGGTCCGGGCCCAAGGGCCGAGCCCGCGGCAGTTCAGGCCCAGGGGCCTCGTCGGTCCTGGCCATGGGCTCCAAGTGGGACCTGCCCATGGGTGTGGCTCTTAGGGCCTGGCTGGGAGGCTGACTGCCTCAGAGTGAGGAGCCCAGGTCCTGGCCTACAGACGACAGACCAAGGATCAAGGTCAGAGGTCAGGGCCATTCAGTTCTAGAGCTCTGGCTGAAGCAACCAGAGGTCAGGGTTCAGATGTGAGAACCAAAGCCATCGAGTTCCGTGGTCCAGCAGAGAGGGCCAGAAGCCAGGGACAGAGTCACTGAGTTCCAGGACAGGGTCCAGCAGGCGCCAGGAGCTCAGTACTGGTGTTCCAGCAAGGGCTGGGCAGCGGGGCTCTCGCGTTCCTCGGCGGTGGCAGGCCAGTCACTCGGAGCCCCCGTGGGGGTGCCACTGTCAGGGGCACTGCTGTCCAAGCAGGGACTGTCCTGAGCTGCTCTGAGGGGTGAGGTGGCGGTACTGATGTCCGGGGGGAGGCTGAGGTCCAGGGGTGCCTGGCGTAGGGCAGATGGGTTGGCAGGAGAGCAAACCTCAGCTACCCAGGACCCTGCCTCCCACAGGCCGCTTACCTGAGATTTGGGGGTGCCTCCTCTGGGGCTCCCTGAGGCTGGCTCCCCCTCGGATCCCCCTAACCCCTTCCGACCCCCCAGGCTCCACTTCCCACTGGGGCCCTCAGAACCGAGGAGACCAGGGACAGGAGGCCGTGAGGGCCGGGGACCCTCGGTGGGGGCAGGTGAGGCGGGGGGCGGTCCAGGGAGCCGAGGGGGCGGCCACTGCAGCAGAGGGGGGGGCCGCCCATCTCCGGAACCAGTCAGGGAAGGCCGTGGCCCCCAGCCAGGGCCTGGTGGGAGGGGTTGGTCACCACTGCCTGTGGGAGATAGATAAGAGGGCAGAGACTTCAACGGGCCGTCCTCCTCACCCCCGAGGGGTCAGCTAGCCTTGCCTGCTCACCTGCCGTGTTCTCAGGTGTGGGGTGTGCCAAGGGGGGGTTATTGCTGAGGGACGTCAAGCCGCCGCCACCCCCCCCACCACAGTCCGAGTCATCCACGTTCCCGCCGCTGTTGCAACCGGCACCACAGCCCTTATGAAGCCTGGACGAGAGGAGGCCAAGGAGAGGTCGGCGGGGGACATGGCTGAGGCCAGAGGCCTCACAGGCACCAGCCCCCAGCCCAGGACAAGTCACCTCCCATCTCTGAGCCTCAGAGTCTTGTCTCTAAAGGACCTTGCTGGCTATGTTGCAGGGCCTTTTGAGGGAGGCCTCATCACACACTGCAGTTAGAGGTTCGAATCCCGGCTCCAGAACTTCCTCCCTCGGGGACACAGGAGCGGCTGCTCAGCCTCCGTGGCCTCGGGGCCAGCAGTCCGGGCTCACCTCTCCCAGCTGCGCAGGAGCCAGCGGGCGATGGCGCCGAGGCTGACGGGGCCGCCCCACAGTGCCCGCAGCTGGGGGTGGCTGCCGGCCAGCGAGGTGGTGAGGGGCGACACGTAGATGGGGTAGCCCAGCGGCTGGTCGCAGGACGAGTTGATCATGTTGCGCAGAGCCTGCTTGGCATTCTGGATGCTGCCGCGCTCGGGGTTCCGGTTCCGGAGGAACACCAGCTCCTGCTGCTGCCCCGCCCACAGGCCACGCACACACTCCCGGTTCACCTGCGGGCCAAGCACGGCTCAGCTGGCGGTGGCGGCGGGGGAGG